TTTTTTTTTATTTTTCGAACTATTATTTCGAGCAGGAAGAGGGCGCCAGAAAGCGTGTAGGAATAGAATTATGGCTGCCACTTTTGTTTTCTTTACAACAATGGTTTTTTTAGTAATTAATATCGCGTATCTTATAATGTCACTAGAAAACAATTAAAAAGTTACCGATTTTTTCACGTCGAATGACAGCTGTAGTTGCACTGCTACGAAAAAATGGAATCGTCAACAAAAAAAAGTAAGATTATCATTGATTCACTTACAGTTGATTAAATCATTTATATTTTGAAAAAGCAATGAAATTTATACTACAATTCTTTAACGTACATAAACTGTGCATCTGCTATTTGTTATTGATTAAGAGTAAACGTTAAATCAAAGAAGGAAAAACAAAATTGCATTAAAAAGAATTTATTAATAATAATAATAATAATAAAATAAATAAATATATATATATGGAAAGTTTGGTAATAGTTTTTGTGTTGATTAAAAGGCCTACCAATAGTCTTATTTTCCTATAAATGTTTGACCTCTTTAAAAGGTCACGAGTATTGAACTACTTTTCGCGTTTACACGTGCGTTCAAAATGTTACCATTAACCTCTAGGTGCTTGGATTATTTTTTTTTTATTTGTTTAAGTCGAGTTTGAGAATAAAATTTATATTGAAAATAAATAATAGCAATTCAATATTGTTAGTGAATTTTATAGGATTTAAATTATTTAAAAAAATTAATTTATTTTACTGTTATTGTTAATTCTTTTGGTAATTTTTTACTGTTTAAATATCTCGATTAGACAAAAATATCTAAATCTTTAATAACTTTTTGTCATTTTAATTAATGTAAACAAATTATAATGGTTGATGCGTTTTTTGTACTTATATTTGTTGATTATATAACGTACCGTTAAATTATAAAAAGTTTTCTTGAATCGTTAAATTTCAATGAGATAGGTGTATTTTTAAAACAAAATCATTTTTAATTTTTAAAATTTTTTTTATTTTATTTAAAATAAATGTTTTAATAAGTCTAAAATGTCACAGAAATTTCATTTTAGACAGTTTTAGTGTTCAGTATTAGCCTTTTACATAGTTTTCTGAACAGATTAGTTTGTTAGTGTTTGATGATTACACTTAGTAATTGTGTTAAGTTTTACAAAAAAAAAAACAAAAAACTTTGCTTTTTTCCTGTAACTCAAAATCTGTTATAATCTTCGAATACCGTTTAGTAAATGAATTGTTTGTGATACGTCTAAATTTACTCTGCAATATGAAGCTGCAATATGATTTCCCTCGCCCAATTTTTACTGAACCTGGGGCAGAGTATGTCATACTTGCATTCAATGTCACTGCTTTGGATGACATGTTGATAAGTGCGTGCGCACTTATCAACATGTATGCAGTGGGCGGAGACTAGCTGCTTGACCGTATTTAAATGAATCGGTATCAAGGATGTATTATACAAAATAAGTTTCGAAACACGATAATATGAAATAAGATTTTATATGAATATTCTACTTAATTTTGTTAAATATATTTATTTTAAACATTCTTAAATTATTTAAAATAAAATAATATTTCAGCTTACTATAGGCCTATTTACAATGTATTAATTGTATATATATTTTTTAATAATTTAACTTTTATTATAAATCACTACTGAATTTGTATGTAACTATGATTATATTTGTATATTAATTAATTTCCTTTTTAAATTAAATGTTATTTATACTTTTAAGATTTTAATTTATTGTAACAATTAGAATAAAAGAAAATAATTTGGTAATGTAATAATTGGTTTTATGAAATAATATAAATAACATACATATTACTTATATTATTTGCTATAAAAAAATAGTGCAAATAAGCTTCAGTTTGGATTGTAGCACTTATTCAGGAACAAGTGTATTTATGAAATTGATAGATATATTCATTTCTTCAGAACAATTCATTTATATTAAAAAGCTTTTTATGTTTATCTTCCTTTATGCTTTTGTCTTACTAAATAATAAATTGTGATTTTAATGAAATATTGAAAAAAAATCCTTAGCTATGCATAACATGTTATATATTCTTGTATATAATGGAATCAATTTTATTTTGAATGTATTGGCCAAAGTTTTAATAAATATATTCTATTAAAATACAAAATCTGTATTTGCTAATAATTAATTAGTAACATAAAATACAGTACTTTAATATGTTCTTTCACATTCTAAATATGTAGTCTCTTCAATAAAACTGCAACTAAGAACATGAACAAATAGTAAAACATTTTTTAAGAATAAGAATCAATACATATATATATATATATATGCAGTATGCTTCCGATTATCTGGACTAATCGTCAGTAATGGAATTACGGATAAGGTATAAAATACAGATAATCCACAAGTCTGTTTTAATGAAAGTTAATCAGTTTTTATTTTTAGTTTTTAATTTCCTAATATATTCTGAAACCATATCTTCTTTTATTTGAATAATCTGTTATCACTACTAGGTGCCAAGTGTCTGTATAAGCACATAGTAGTGATAACAAATTACAGTCAACCCCCCCCTATAACACGGGTTCCTATAGTTCCGATTCCTATATCATGGCAAAAAAATTGCGACAGTATTTGTACAAACATGCTTAGAAAACTCCTATAATTCGTTAAAACATCATTGCTGACTCGTGTCGTGACAGGATTGGTTGAATCTTGACCAATAGCGGATATTGCACAAACCATTGAGTTTAAACGAGCAGCGGACCTACTAAAAACCATTTATTATTTAACGTCCATAAAAATTTTATATCAATGATGTCTCCAAAGTTCAGTGAATTTTTTGCAAAAAAAATAATTTATCGGGAAGCACACGAGCGCCATTTGATGACAAGCTCCACAACAAAAACAAGCTTAAACAATGGCGTAGTCGAACGGTGCACACTTGGTAAGTAATCCTACAATTTTTTGTTTATAGCATACTTTATATGGATTATTCCCAAAAAATTATACGTATTTTGGAAATGTTGAGTCGAATTAGTCTAGAATCGATTAATTTTATGGAAGAAACCTTTCAAACAGCCTTAGTCCGTAAACTGCATGCGTGCCAGGCTGTGATTGGCTGGACTCGTAGAAAATAGATTCATAAAAACCGGAACATATCTATCGTGTTATAGGGGGGTCGACTGTATTTAATTTCTCATTAAATTTAACATAATAGTCTATATATTATGAATAAAATATGTTTTGAGAATGATAATTAATTAATTAATAAGATTTAAATGTGATCAGAGTTGAAAAAATCTTTTAATGCAAATAGAAAATTCTGAAAAATTTATTGTACTAGCAACTCATAGTTCACAACCAATTTCTTGTATTATTAAACAATGACAGGTTTTTCAAGTAGATGTTGTAAAACATCATTAATTTTGCATCATTATTAATGATTTCTTGATAAGGAAATGATTCAAAATATATTTTTCAAACAATTTTACTATTGTTTCAAACAATTCAAACAATTGTACTTTGTATTTTTACAAAAATATGTGTACAGTATACTTATCTGTGTACAATAAGTAAAGTTATATTGTTCAAGAATCAACTGCACTTACTGTACTTGTTAGGCTATTACATTTATGCCTTCATGTTTTGGAAATATTTCTGATACTCAGCATAGTATTTTAAATAGCAAGAGTTAACAATGTAGATTTTTTTTTTATTTTAGTGCTAATATTTGTATTCCTAACAAAAATTTTTATCAAGATGTAAGCATGCATGGATAATCCTACAAAGATAATCAAGAATATATTATATTAGAAAAACACTTTTAAAATAAAGCATATATTTGAGAAACTGAATGAAATGCTTGATAAGAAATTTCCAGAACACTATTATCTTGATACATTAACATCTTTTTAATCTTTTACATATTTCTGTAATTTTATTAAATCATTGGCTAGTAAAAAATTTGATTTATTACAGTTTATTGTTAATAGCATATGAAATGAAATTTGTTTAAATGACATACAGGCAGGAGTGCCCATACATTGGGACAGGTATGTTCCTTTTTGTCAGGTTACTCTTTACCTAATCCCAAGGGGCCCCAATTTCCATTATCAATAAACTACAGAAAATGCAATGACTTCTATTAAAGAAACTAATGAACAATATTCATCCATTGTCCCACACATGGATGTCCACAGAAAATTTTCCAGGAAGGACAAGGTATGGTGACAAATAATTACACCAATAAGTTTTTATTTAATTATTAAAGTTTTTAGGGAGTTTTTCATAAATAGATTATAGAATACAATATTGCATCAATACAAAAAGACAGATAAAGCATCCCATAGTTGAGGTGTAAGGTTACTTATCTCAATCAGTTTTATGATTATAATTTATGGAATTTTTTACTTACTCTCAGGAGGGCAAGTGGCTCATTTGCTCTCTCTGTAGAAGCCCATGGATCCATGCAACAATTTTTATGTAGTTATTTTGCCATATGCTGACCAAAAACCACATTCATTGTTTTCAAGACCAAATTAGCTACAAATTCAGTACAACCAAATGCCATCTTATGTTGATTGGACATTGAATCATAAAGTTTGAAGCTTGCATAATGTATGATGTGCTTTTTTATAGTTTGTAGGTGCTGCTGCCTACAGGATTGTTGGAAAAAGGGTCTACATTATAACTATTACTATTTGTTATATATGAGATAAAAATTTTATAAACAGTCTTGATTGAACAGCATAGTCTTAAGGGTTAAATACTATAGTTTGTATTCAGATCAGCTCAGATAAGAGTTTATTAGAGAAGATTGAAGAAACTTCCATCTGAACTGATTGCTGAACAATATCTTTTGTATCTTTCTCTAAAACAATTAAATTTATTGTTTTTACACTAAAAATTTTTAATTATTTAAAGAAACTTGTAACAGGAAAACCTATAACAAAAAATTCAATTTGATTGAAATAAGTATGTACAGTACATGTTAACAATATCTTATCCAAAATTCCAAAAAGCAAAGGTTTTTTCATGGAACATCACTAGTTTGCACAACAGTGGTTATTTACAAGTTGGATGTGTCTCTGCTGCTCACAGATATTTTGTTTATTTTTTGTAATTTTTCAATTTACAGGAGAGTTTTTTTCATAACTTAAGACCTGGAAACAAAATATGTAAAAAATGATTTGTTATCAAAAACACAAATGCTTGAATATCCTATGTTGATCATGTTGGTAATTAGTGGAACT